CAGCTAGATTTGAAAGACCCAATCTTCAGCAAAACAATAATGCTTCTCGCAGGGCTAGGGCTTCCGCTACATCCGAGTCTACCACATCAGGGAACTGTCGTGAAAGACCATGGATGAATTGACTATTCGGCGCTTTGATATAAACTCCGGCACCAGCACATTTCCTTGCCATCGATATGGATCCGTCAAAGAAGACTTTTTACAGCATCTGAAGGAGGTGAGTTAAGCAGAGATGATGTATGCAAGTCACGATCATTTGTGTTCATTTTCAATGTGAGCTCAAAGAAATCACGTACAATTCTGCTGGATTGAAGGACAACTGACCAAGGGGTGATGGTTGTTTGGTCGAATAACCTGGAATTCCTTGCCTGCAAATTCCTGAAAGTAGTGCCACCAAGAAAGAGACAGAGGGAAACTGATCGTCAAAAAGAATAGCTCTCATCCAAAGATCACAGATAGGGCGGCGTTGGTGAAGAAGAACTTGCGAGTATAAGCCAGCAATTCGAAATGGTTGCACAGCGAAGGGGCAGTCGAAGAAAACATGATTGCTGCTGGATGAATTCTGATTACAGAGAATGCAGGTATCGTCCACAGATTAGATATCTGAAAGCAAGATTAGCTGGAGTTAGCGAAGAATTCTGACATAAACGCCAAGCAAAGAGAAGAATCCTGTTTGGTAATTTGAGACTCCATAACTTCCGCCAAAGTGGGTCCTGAACTCCAGTTGGTGAAATGGAGGATGCAGTGGTCTGCTGGCTGAACTGAGGGGAGTATAAGAGCTGAAAGTATGCCGATCGAGCAGAAAATTGTCCATTCTTTGAAAAATTCCATATCCAACGATCACAGGACGGAAACTGAGGTAAAGCCCTAGAGAGAATAGTTGATGCTTCAATAGGAGGGAAAATACTATGGATAAGATCCCGATTCCAGTCCCGTCGATCCTGATTGATTAGCTCTGAGACCTTTGCAGAAGATGACAACACATGTGGTACCACTGAAGTACGAAAAGAGGGTTCCAATGGAAGCCTATAGAAACTCATGGGGTTCCACCTCAAAACCAATTGGCAATGAGGGGAGTAGCCCATAGTACTTATATATTGATACAAAGTGTCTCTAGACACCTATGTGGGATAAATACTTTAACACTCCCCCTCAAGCCCAACGGGCTTGGACTAAATCACCAGGACCAGGATCACCAGGATCAGGAAATAAACCGTGGAATAACATCACGGGCTACGGAATAACGTCGTGGACTTAAATTGGGCCACAGAATAATATCGTGGGCTTAAAATCATCACAGGCCGATCCCGCTCTGATACCATATAAAAACCCATGGGGTTCTACCTCAAAACCAATTGGCAATGAGGGGAGTAGCCCATGGTCCTTATATATTAATACAAAGTGTCTCTAGATACCAATGTGGGATAAATACTTCAACAAAGCCACTTATCAGACCATACGTTAGTCTGCAAACCACTAATGATCTTCTTGCGACAGCCAAGCTCCAACAGTTTTCTTCCTTCAAGCAAGCTCCTCCATGTCCAGGATGGTCACGACCCAAGCTCAGCTGAGAGGAACTTCTTTGATGGATAATATATAACCTACAAAACACGAGCTAGTAACGAGTGTGGGTCTATGAGCAGCTTCCAGGCTTGCTTGCTAAGCATTGCCATGTTGAAAGCTTTGAGATTACGGAACCCTAAACCTCCATCTTTCTTACTGTGAGACATTGATGACCAAGAGGACCAGTGGATCTTTCTTCTGTCATCCGAGCTTCCACAAAAATATCTACTGGACATAGATTGTAGATCCTCTAACACATTGTCTGGCAACATGAAGCATGACATGGCATAATTAAGACGGTATGGCCTGAATGACAGACTTGATGAGTATCTCTTTTCCAGCTCTTGACAAAGATGTTGAACTCCAAGAATGTATCTTCTGCCAAACACGATCTTTAATACTGGCATAGATTTCCTTTTTGCATTTCCCAGTGACGGAGGGTAAACCAAGATATTTGCCATGGCTGCTGACTTGTGGAATCCCAAGAATGTTGCATACTGAAGTTCTGATTTGTGCATTCGTGTAAGGACTAAACAAGATACCAGATTTGTCTAGATTAATCCTTTGTCCCGAGACTCTTTCATAAAGCTTGATGGCCCATTGAATGTGCTGAGCTTCAGATTCTGTAGCATTACCAAACAACAAGGTATCATCAGCGAAGAAAGATGCGAGATCTTCGGGGCTTCACGAGTTACTCCAATGCCATGAATACGTTCACATCTTTGAAGGTCCTGTAATAAACATAAAAATACCTCCAAACATATGATAAAAAGATAAGGAGAAAGGGGATCGCCTTGACGGATCCATCTTTCTGGGATGAGATTGCCGAATTGTTGCCCATTTAAGATGAATGAAAACCTAACTGAGGAACGGCATGACATGATCAGGTTAACAAATGATTCACAAAAGCCTAGAGTTAGCTAGACAGATTTCAAAAAACTCCACTTCACTCTATCGAAGGCTTTACTCATGTCTAATTTTATAGACATCAAACCGGTTTTGCAATTTGAACAAATTTTCATATAGTGGTGAGGTTCATAGGCCAAAAGGATATTGTCGGTGATTAAACGTCCTGGGATAAAGGTGGACTGAGATTCAGAGATAAGACGAAATTGTAAACTACATTGCATAATGAGATAGGACGAAATTGAGTAATGAGTTCAAGATTTTTTATTTTTGGAATTAAAACAATATGTGTAAAATTCATTCGAGAGTCAAAGCTACCCGAATTCAACAATATTCTAGAATTTTTTGAAAAAAAACGGGGCTCATACCGTCCGGGCCGGGAGATTTGAAAGGTGCCATTTCCTTAAGAGCTTTGACGACCTCATCTGCTGTATAAGGGCGCATTAAGCGATTGTTCATATCCAAAGTGACCTTTTGGAGTAATCTGCTAATAGCTTGATGAATCTCAGACTCTAGAGGGCTAGAGGAAGCAAATAAAGAACCGTAGTAATCCATTATAATCTCTCCAAATCATGTGTTTCATTGCGGAGTGTGCCATCAGCATCTTTCAAGCCTGAAATATGATTAACATACTTCCTTTTGTTGGCATATGCATGAAAGAATTTTGTGTTACGGTCTCCCTCTTTATGCTAATGCTGCTTCGCACGTTGCTTCCACTTTAAGCTTTCCCTTTCCGACAGCAAGTCTGACGAGTAATAAATTAACCCTAGGCCTATTGAGCCTTGGATTGGGTTACTTAAAGATTAAGTCACCGACTAAACCTATTCCGCTAGGGTTTCAGGAAACAGGTAACACCACCTCTATATAAAGAGGTGGTGCCTCTCTCATAATACACATCTTCTACCTATCTTCTACACCTTCTACACACGATACACATCCCTTTCTCTATTATCTTTATTCCCTTATTGACTTAAGCATAGGAGAGTCCACCCTCGAGAGACACCCGAGGCTCTGTCTTGCAGGTTTTAGGCCGTCCGCCGCCGCCCAAATCATCATCGCCGCCCATCCTAAAGCACCGTACAAATCCATGCTTCGTCAAGTGGCACGCCCAGTGGGACCGATTTGTTTAGTCCTTACAACCAAATAAATTTCTTGAAACGAAGCTGAAATTTATTGGTGCTTCATGAATCATGATCTAAACGATGATGATGTTGTCGGGTCCAGCGTCGACTTCTTCTTCTCGACGTCTAGCTCGACTAGTCCCCTGTCGACGTACATGCCAACTTTCTCCCGCCGACAAAAAGGCCGATGAAGATGCTGTTGACTTTCATGTCGAGTTACTCCCTCCGATGCAGAAGCTGACAGCACGAACTTTCTTCTCAAATTTTGGAAACAAGCCCGAGAAGATTCACCAATTTTTAGATTTTGCAACTCAGCCCCTCTAGTCTTTTATGGTTGATTAACCCTAATAGTTTAATAATTTTGCAGATTAACCCCCTTAACCTCAAAGCAAGGGGCAATTTCGAAAATTGAAGTTTCGAGAGATACGTCTCCTCGAAGGAGCAACCATCCCTCGAGCATCATACTACTACTCAAAGTGTTCAAGGAGATGTATCTCGACTTTTATCTATTCAACAACTACCTTCTCGGAATCGAGGTACCACCTTCTCGAGTAATCAATTTATCTCGAGACTGAGGTATTTCTCAAACCTTTTTTAATATATTTCTTGAATCTAAATCAATCTACTGCTGATATCATTAGTATATTACTAGTATCATATCAAGTTATCTTTTTAAGAACGATCAGAGGAGTTCTTCAAGTTACCAAACCTGTTGCGGTAAAACCCTATCACCCTTCAACGAGGAAAATGTACTCGGGGACACAAACAGGGACATACCCTTGGGGCAAGGAATTTGAGGGATTATCCTAATATCCTCTGCTTGAATTGATATTATTCATAATCATCTTATTACTATATGTCATTACATTATTACATTATATATCGCATCTCGAACATCCAAACATATAAGGTTCCTCCCTTCAAATAAGAAAATTCCGGCACCATCCTCCCAATTCGGCATCCAGGCGCCATACTCCCAATTCGGCATCTAGGCGCCATCCTCCTAATTCGGCATACACAGGCTTCTCCCTCCTAATCAGGAACTCACTAATACAAAGATCTCCTCGAGGCACTTTATTCTCTTTATCTTATATAGGTGACACCCGAGAACGAAAGAGTTCGAGAACTGGGGCAACACTATGAAAATCAAGGAGACATAAACACTCGTAGCAACTCATATTCTTCTCATCAAGTCTCGAGAATATGGCTTTCTAGGGGCACTTGACGAGTCATAAATTAACCCTAGGCCTATTGGGCCTAGGATTAGGTTACTTGGAGATTAAGTCACCGACTAAACCTATTCCGCTAGGGTTTCAGGAAACAGGCAACACCACCTCTAGAGACACCCGAGGCTCTGTCTTGCAGGTTTTAGGCCGTCCGCCGCCGCCCAGATAATCATCGCCGCCCATCCTAAGGCGCCGTACAAATCCATGCTTCGTCAAAGTCCAACTCCTTTTCCAATTCTCCAAGCTTAGAGCATTGTGGTTCATCAGTGTTACCTCTTTGTATTTCCAGAATCTCCTTTTTAAGAACTTCAATCCTTTTCTCAAAATCAGAAACTTGATGGCTACTCCAATTCAATAAGCCGACATGAACATGTTCAAGTTTAGCACCAAGTGAATCAAAATCAGAGTTCGAGCAATCTTCAATCACACGCTGGCAGTCCTCAACTCTAATCCAATAAGCTTCGAATCGATACGGTCGTTTTCGTCGGACAACATGTGAATGGGGATGTTTCTCACGTAACTGTGTATGCAGCAACATATGGTCCCATACAAACATGGGAATGTGAGATACTAGACTCCATGGAAACAAATGCTGAAAATTTGCGTTGCACGTGGACCTATCGAGTCGCGCTCTTTGAGTCCTTGGATGTTGCAGCAGACGTAGCCAAGTGTACTTGTAACCCTCGAACCCCATGTCCACGAGTTGAAGCTGGTCAAGTGAATCCCTAAGGAGGTTGATTTGCCAATTAGCACGAGGACGGCAACCTTGAAATTTTTTCTTGTGAAAGAACTTCATTAAAATTGCAAAAGAAAATCCATGGCTTTTTCCTGGGATCAAACAGATTACACAGTTGATTCCATGCATCTCTCCGCAAAGCCACGTCAGGCTACCCGTATATACCAGTTGCTCTTACATTCTGCCCCTTCAATTCAACATCAACATCAATGAAACTTTCAGAATAAGCACGCAAACTTACAGCCAGATCCTTTTTTCCATAACATGGCCAACCCTCCTGAATTTCCATCCGAATTAACACTCACTCCGAACATGTCCAACTTGTGCTTCAATCTTTGTATATACCGCTGATCACATTTAGTTTCACACAGGAATACAAGATGTGGGGACTTTTTGCGGACGATTTTGCCCAGCTCTTCGAATTTCCGAAAACTCCCAATTCCCGGCAATTCTAACTCAGGATACTTATTGAGCTGAGCGGGATTGGGACATTACCCCAATCTCCGCCACACCGCCATCGGAGTTTACAAATCCAGAAGCATCAGAAACAGTACTAACTTCCACATGAGACTTCTTGCCAATGATTTCGACATCAACCATGTGCAGATCAGTGCCATCAAAATCATCAATACTCCATTTACGTTTACTTGGTTCGGAAATAGAATTATGAATTGAATCGTTCTGCAAAATTCGGTTACGGGCCAAGTTGAAATGACGTGCTGCCTTCTGGGCTGGAGTGTCAAGGGTCATCAGCACATTAACAAGGTAAGGGCTGAGAAGGGTAGGATTAGGGTTAGAAAGAGTAGTAGTTTGGTCATTGGTGGGTTGATACAATTTTCGATTCTCTAATTACCAGGTTTGGGAGTGAAATTGCATGAGTTTGGGAATCAAGCATTTTGTTTTTACTTACTAGAGGGTTATATAAATGATCAGAGAGAATAGAGGGAGTAGGGTCAAGCTGTTCTGTGAAAAGGGATGAGCAAGGAATTGGCACTATTTTTGTGAACTGGGAGTTCATAACAGTAGTAGAGGAGCTAGATAGAGGGTTGAGGGTAGCAGGCATGGTGCGTTTATTGCTTGGAAAATGACCTGGTTGAATAGAGGGATTGGAAGAGGCAATGAGGGGTTGTTTTCTGGAAGTGAGGCTATTTTAACAGGCTGAGAACTTAGGGCAATATAAGATACTAGGGTTTCTGTTAAGATAGTATGGATAGCAGTTGACTTCGTGCGTGACGAGGGAGATTGGGACATGGGAGAATCTTGTGGAATTGTGTTGGTTGTTAATGGATTAGAATGTGGAGGTTGTGGGGAAGGGGAATCAGGAGAACGATCACTGTGAGAAACTGAATTGACAATTCTGCGAGCAAAAGAAGGGAGAACGTGGGATGAGGTAGGGTTACGTGATGATGATGGAGGAAATCCAGGTCGGGTTTGGATGTGATAGGATTGACGCTCCTCATAGGGCATCGGCTCTTTGTCGGAATTGTCGGGCACATGAAAAGGGTCGGGTTCTTGGGCTGGCTGTCGTGAAACAAATGGATTCCAGTAGCCTTTTGCTCTCAGCCAATTACCATATTCTGGAGGATTGGAAGAACTGCCAGCATTCAAGGTTCTTGTTGGACATCCAGATTCAGCATGACCAATAATTCCACAATTATTACACCACTCCGGCAACCTTTCATACTTCAGAGGGATTTTAAGCTTCTGGCCTTCATGATCAAACTGTAAAACTCGCATCAAAGGTTTGTTGATATTGATATTCACTTTGATACGGAGGAAACAACCAATGCAGTTATGGTCAGCGTCCTTGAATACCTCCATGAATTGCTAAATGAGATTCCCAGCGTACATGGCAAACTCCTCATTCATCAAATCCAGAGGGCAATAGTGAAGTTGAATCCACCAAGGACACATGTTGAAGTCCACATTCAAATCATCGCCAAGTTTCAGAACTAAAAGATGTTTTCAACCCAATAACCAGGCTCTCCATGAAGAACCCTAGCCCGATCTATTTGATCATTGAACTTGAAGTGTACTATGTTATCCCCAACAGGTCTCACAATAAAACCATGGCGAATGGACCAGATATTCCGACAGTGAGTGCCAATAGAATCATAAGACACAATTCTCGAACAGTGAAGCTTTACAATGATGGTGAGCAAAGGATCAGTACGAGAAAGTGTCAGCGATCTAGTGGAATGTGTTGTAGATTCATCTTCCCGAAGAGATAATCTCCCAATAATACTCTCCTCCTCTGTAGCCATTGATACCGCAAGCCCACAAAAGACTCAACCGCAAGTGAGAGAAGATATGAACAACGCTTAATTCGAACAATACGGCTTAGATGAGACCTATAAAAATTGAGAAAAACAAAAAACACAAAACACAAGTTGATTAATCAAATGGAAACAACATATAAATTTTAGTTAAATAAATCGATTTTTTTTGAAAAAACGGGGATATAGAGCACTGGGAGGAAAGAACTACGGAAGTCGATACAGAGATGGATTATGTAAGAGAATTTTGGACTAGAGTGTTAGATTTATGGGGAACGAGAGAAGAATTTGATGGAAAGTGAAAGAAAACAGACAGTCAATACATGGAGAATGACTCCATGAAGGACTCTTGGAAAACTGGAATTCTCAAAGAAACTCTCCCTAGGAGGACTCTAGGACTTGTTTGATGTATGGCCACACTTGGATTAGAGTATGGTTTGGTTGATTTGTTTGGCGTGCCCACAAATGACGATGTAGAACTTTCTGATGATGATGGTAATGACCCAATTCGTAGTCAGCTTACCCAGGAAATTCTCACCCCACGTATGGTAAATATGCGTCTGAATGGTCCAGCGATAAAACCAAGAGAAAAATGGTTGCTATTAAGAGGAAGGAAAACAAGAAACTTAGTGCAAAAAAGAAGAAAAGAAGGGTAGATGTGTCAACACTGTTTGAGGATGATGATGAGTTTTACCTCACGAGATTGAGATATTGGAGAGTATAAATTCTTCTGGGATACCTGATGTACAGATTTTGGGAAAAAAAAATAACGCAAATACTGGTGCTACTGGTGATGAACAAGAAGGCGATGAACAAGAACCTAGATCTGAGAAAAGCGTTCAATTGTGCTGGTGATGAAAAACAGTTGAGGTAGACAGTGGTTCAGAAAAAAAAATACAACAGTGAAGGTAATAAACTAGCAACCTAGGCAGAACCTGGTTCAGAGAAAGACTGCAACACTGATGGTTATGAAGAAGCAGTGCAGGCAGAACCTGGTTCAGAAAACCACTGCAACAGTAAAGGTGATGAAGCAGCAGCTGAGGCAGAACCTGCTTCAGAAAGGGAATACAATTGTGTTAATCAGAAGAAGACAACGACATCGAATTGAAACCAAAAGGAGCAAACCACGTGTTAAAGTCAAAGATAAACAAGGAGCAAAGTGAAAAGGGAAGAAGAAGAAGAAAGTGGTCAGAACAAGTATAGCATATAATTCAGATGATAACACCCTTGCTAAAATGCTAGAGAAAATCAAAGCAAAAGAGGTAGAGCCAAATGGAAATTTTGAATTCCACGACAGTGACTATGAAATGGATATAAAGAAAGAAAGATCATTAAGGAGAGAGCAAAAGTTTGAGTTGAGATTTTAAAGAAACCTGAGAGCAAACTACAACCAGAAAATGAAGCATATGATGAAGAATATGAGAGTTCAGGTGAGTATGAAGAACTACATAGTGGTGAAGAAATTGAATGTGAAACTGATGAAACATGAAAACCTCTGTTCAGAATGTACGACAAAAAAACAATTAAAACATGTGTTCAAGGTGCTGAGCACAGAATGTATGTGCAACATATGCAACAATTTCAAAAAGGAGTTCGGAAGCGCGACATTGAAAGACTTATTGTAGGTTACTGCTAAAGCAACTTCTCTTGCAAGGTATAAGTCCATCATTGAGCATTCAGAGTTCTAGTGCCCCAGGCTATAGACTAGTTAAGGAGGAATAAAAACCCTAGGAACTAAACAAGGTCACATTTCAAGTATCATGCGAAGTGTGACGTTTTGGTGAACAACATCTCCGAGTGTATAAGTATTGCTTCCTACTAGGGAAAAGGCCTTACTGTCCATGCTAAGATGGATCTTTTTGTATCTTATGGAGAGGCACCGTTAGAAAAGGGAAGCTACTGCTAAACTGGTTAATGTTGTCGGCCCAAAAGTAAGAAAGAAGCTGGAACAATTAAAGGAGAGAGCAAGTGAGTGTTGGGCAGTGGATGCTGGAGAATGAAATTTTCAAGTAAGTACTAAGCCTGGTGAACAGTTTGCAATGGATCTAAGGGCTAGAACTTGTGCATGTAGAAGGTGGATCTTGAGAGGCATACCTAGCCAGCACGCAATTGTAGCAATCGGCCAGAATACTGAGCCCGTTGAAGCTTTTCTGCACAACAATTACTCGATGGCATCTTATGAAACTGCTTACAAGTACATCATTTATCCCACAAATGGTGAAGAAATGTGGAAAAAGATGAAGAAACCAGATATTATGCCCCCTGAAAAAATTATTCTAGTTGGACGACCTCCTAAGGCTAAAAAGAAGACTAAGGAAGAGCTGAGATAAATGCGTGTAAAGAAAAAGGATGATGTTGAGGTTCTGTCTCGGACTGGCAAAATGACATACACCTGTTTGAATTGCAAAATAAATGGACATAACAAGAGGCAGTGTACTGGTGCAGCTACACCATCTGAGCAGTCTAAGAAGAGGAAGAGATCCAATACCGAGGGCCAACCTAAGAAGAAGGTACATTTTTTTGCTCTTTTAAGATGTTGTTCACTTAGTTTTTCTTGTTTTGTTCTCTAAATTGATTATGTTAAATTTCTAGGCTAAAAAGACTGTTCAATGTCAATTGTGTGGGAAAACTGGACATTATCAGACAACAAGCACAAGCGCCGTTGCTGATATATACAAAGAACCAAATAACAATATGCCACCCATAGTAGATGTAGCTGGTAATCAGGATTCAGAAGGTTTACATCTAGATTAGAGCACTGATGTATTATGCTTTTATTCTGGATATTGATGTATTTTAGTTGGATAGTTAAGTTTAGATTGTTAAACTTTTGGTATTTTGGTTGGACAGTTAAGCTTTGATTGTTAGGCTTTGATATTTATTTTGGATATAAGCGTGGATTGTTAAACTATTGGTAAAATGCTACTTTTGGTTATGCTTTTGGTAGGTCAATGCAAAGTATGTTTATGAGTTTAACCATGTTTGCAAATACAGTTTTGGCACGCCATTTTTTTTTTGTTCTGTACAATTGAAACAATTAACTTTTTTTTTGTGCTATCTATAGTATTATATTAAGAGAGAAACTGGAAAAAGAAAACTAAATGTATTCCTAAGGTGCCAAATAAGATAAAATCCAATGTGTAATTTTCTAAAGCATTCACCAAAAAACATTTTTGTGTAATTAGGAAAAAGTCCTCTAGATTAAATGAAACAAACATACACTTCTCTCCCTGGTAGGATTTTTAAATAGAGTTTGTTTTAGGGAGATGATTCTGCCAGGACAATAAATAGCATCCAATGCAAAAATAATCTCTTTTTCCAAAAATACCCCTAATAAAAGGGGTTTTTTCATGACAATAATCAATTAAAGCATCACATCTCCACATTTCCACAACACACATTGCTCTACTCCGGCCATAATTGCAAATTGCAATCAGTCCAAACAAGGAATTAATGCACAATTGCTTCGAAGTGTTTAATCTCATCGTATAAGCAAAATATATTTAATCAATTCGTGTTGGGGAGATCTCAATTCCAACAGGGGTTACAAAACAGAGGAATGCTATTTTGGAATCCTGTTGAACTATTGAAAACCCAGATGTTACGGCTTGTCCTAAGAACAAACTACTGCAGCTTGCACTAAGAACAAACTAATGTCCACTGCGTTGATGATTTTCGCTCGAATTTTACAGTTTCACAGGCATACCAAATACTAGAGCAGCGAGATAAAAAATATTGACAATGAAAAATTACAGGGAGCATTGTTGTCCCTCACCCAATGATCACTCATCGGCTGCTTATTCCTTGCTTAAAACTCAATTTGAAAAACTTGGATGCTAAATTAACACCACCCCACCCTCACCTCGCCTCTAAAGAAGATGTAGTTGCTGCAAAATCGGTGAACCAAAATTTGAAAGAAACAGAATGGATAAAACAACACTCACACAATCTGCTTTGATCTTCTCTGCTCCTTTTGCATCATCTAATTCCCAAAATATTTGGAATTGCAATCTAAGGGGATGAAAATCAATTCCCCCAAAAGAGAGAGAAAAACTTGGACGCTAAAAGAGTAATCTATGTGAAAAATTGTAGATCAAAGTCTCTAAAATAAACAAACCCACGAGCAATAATGGAATTAAATCAAAGGACATTACCCACCCAATCGATTTATTGTTGACTTTTGTTTTAGTATATGACAACATTGATTCAGCCCAAGAAAATTCTTGATTATGATTTATGAGAATGGGATTCAAATAATTCTGAAATCTGCTCTAAAATTAAATTAAAAAAGAAAAAATTATTGGCAATATCAGTGTTGTGTTGTGCCGCACAGAGGGTAAGAAAAAAAAGGATGCGATGATCTGATAGAGAAACACAGTGGCAAGGATTGAGGAAGAAGATACATTCGGCTATAAGGGCAATAAGGTCATTTTGTCCTGCCAAAATCACTTCCCTTTGTTTTATTACCTTAACTTCTAAAATTTAGGATATAACCCCTCTAAATTTCACATAATAAGAATAATAATATCGATATTAAATGACTTAATCAATCATTAAAGGGACGGATAACACCAAATAATTCGTAGGATTTAAATTTGAACTCAAAAATTCTTTTTTTCCTTTATACCTTTACTAGGTGTTAAATCCGTCCGATGGACGGGGTACAAAAATTTTTGTGAAATCAAAAATCTGAGATTGACAATAAGTGTTTCATGAAATAAAATTACAAATATTACAAATCCTGCAACACTTCTTTATAAACTACATTTGTTGTCATGTTACTCGTCTTGCCATCCTCACCACATATTAAAATTTTGAGTCCTTTTTTAGATGTAACTCTAGATAGTGCAATGTACAACTAACCATGGCTAAAAACTAAACATGGTAAATACAATCCAACCTGCGAAAGGAGCTGTCCCTGACTTTTGTTAATTGTCATCGCAAAACAAATTGCAATTGGAAATTGTCTTCTCTTCATTTTCAATGGA